AATCTAAGCACTCTACATCTGTAATGAATCATGAGAGAACTGTTGAACTATTGATTACATTATTATCTAATTTCAGTTTTACAATTAAGTCGAAAACAAAAACGAGGTGAAACTGACAAATTATATAACTTTTTAGATATAACTTTTTAGATATAATGAATCAAGGATTTATAAGATGAGCGTATACAATGGTGTGAATGCAATGAAAATCTCACAAGTATTGTGAGATGATCATGAAATCGAACAACAAATACACATTTTTAAAGATGCAAATACTAGAGTCTGTGAAAGAACTGGGTAGTGATCGTTTTTGACTGTTCTTGCTTACCCGGTATTCACAAATCGTGTAATATATATGTATTATATTTTTAAATACAGTAATATTCTCGCTATTTTTGATTTACTGTATCAAATTTTTCCAAATATCCACCGCACTCTGTGATGGTATTGGTTAGTATGTGCTCCATTGACGCACATGTAGCATAGAATCTTTATCGCATATCACTGTACATAGATGTCAAAATTGTATACCCTTATTTATAAATTCTTGAATAAATAAATAAATATAGAGAGGTTTAAAAAATATATATATATAAAACAATTCAAAGTATAAGTTGCCATAGTGTCAAAACAGGTAGCTTATGTTCCCATTGTAACTTTTTGAATATCATGATTAATCCACTAAAAATTTGAGTTCTTTGTTGATTCTTTGCTGAAATGTTCGACTGCGCATTTCAGCAGTTTAATCAAGATGGCATCGGTGGAAGTGACACACTTACACACAGACAAGCTGAAACATAAGCTCCTGCTCTGTCCTTACACTTAGAAGAGCTAAAGCAAAGTTTAATCTGATTTATTAGAATGTAAATGTTCTATAGAAAAACAGATTATTATGAAACAGTGTTGAATATGCGAAATAAAATAGAGAAAATACAAAAAAGAGTAAATAGAGTAAATACAAAAAAAAATGACAGCGAGTGGGCCTGTCACTTAGTGGCTAATGGGCAGTCAATAACATTGGAAAGAATAAAATTGGTATGATATTTTATCACATACCCATGATGCATATGATTCATTTGTGATGTTCAGCTTGAAATATCACCTTATCTGGGATGATAAATACCATAATATTTATGTTTAACATCATCATTTTACGCACCCAGAGACAAACAAATCATGCAATGAAACATTTTATTTCTGACCAAATTACAAACACTTGCATGGTGTGCAATGACATGAAAGGATTAGTATACTGACTGAAAATGTATTTAAAAAAAACAAGATTTTGTCAGAAATAATTGAGTCTTGTACAAAATACATGTATGAGATTTTAAAAGATCTGTGGTGGTAATCGCCATGTCAACTGTAATGTGTACAGTACTACCATACATAAATGATAGAAGGGTTTCAATAAAAAGTGCTAACTTATCTTTCAGTCCTGAGTGACAAAGATCACAATTAATCCCTCAAAATGTCAAATCCTAATTATTATCATAAGTTTTACAAATAATTTAACTGATTTTTAACTATTAGGGAAAAAATAATCTTTAATGTAATTTGGGTTATTTGACAGAAACATTCCATATCTTCTGAATCATGTTTACACATGCAAGTAGACTCCCTAGCTAGCTAGGTATTAATACTGAACCATGTTTACACATTCAAGTAACTAGACTCCTTAGTTAGCAAGGTATAAATACTGTATTACGATTACACATGCAAATAAGACTCCTTAGTTAACTAGCTAGAAATACTAATTTTTTTTAGATGAGACTAGACTTGTTTGATGTGACGTAACCAGCAATGTCTCTGATGGTCGTCATGGTTACTGTCTGATAGCAGCACGGTTTACCTACAAAAACCATAGAGAAAAAAATAATCAAGAAACGAGAGAAGATACCAGTTAATGGTACCTGTCAGTACCAGCTAAGGGAGACTTGCATGTGTAAACATCTGTTGTTTTGCAACTAATAATTTTATCTATTTAAAATCACATGACAACCATATGATCAAAATCATACGACTACGAAGAGGGGTGGTCGTTAGTTAATATTAACCCTGTGTAAGACCTCTGATACTTTTCTCCATTTAAAGAATACAATTATATATTGAAAAGTGAAACCATAGCAATGGATTCCCATTTAAAATTGGGGTTATTATGCATACAAAAGATTTTTCAGATAGTGGTATGCAACTAAGTGAGCCGCGCACATTGATGAAGATTCTATTCCACTTATGCCAATGGAAAATCTTTCAACAGCCGCTGTGCAGTGTGGTATTTTTAACCAATGGCATCATAGGATACAACAGAAATGAACAAGGTTATCAATCATACTAAAAAACACTTTGCAAATAAGCAAAGAAACTAGCAAACACTAAGAAATTCTTGCACAGACTCACTTTATAGAAATATATGCTCATCTGACTTCAAATTGGGATCTTTATCATGATATCACACAAACTGCATACACTTAGTATAAGTGATACAATTCTGGCATTTATGCAAATTACTATAAATAGCCACATGTATTCATACGCAAATTGTAAACAGCCACATGTATTCATAAGCAGACTGTAAACAACCATATGTATTCATATGTAAATTGTAAACAGCCACACTTATTACTATGCAGACTGTAAACAACCACACTTAGTAATATGCAGACTGTAAACAGCTACACTTAGTAATATGTAGACTGTAAACAGCCACACTTAGTAATATGCAGACTGTAAACAGCCACACTTAGTAATATGCAGACTGTAAACAGCCACACTTAGTTATATGTAGACTGTAAACAGCCACACTTAGTAATATGCAGACTGTGAACAGCCACACTCAGTTAT